ACTTGAAGGGGAAGGGCAGCTGCTTGATTTTTAGAAGTAATGTAAGCAAAACTTAAGACTACGAGAAAAGGAAGTCCAAGTCACACAAAAGATTTCATTATCTGTACCACTGCTTTCTTTCCTGGATGGAGATAGCAGCCAGTTAGTTGATAATCAAGTGCATAGTGCTGTTAACATCAGTCATCTTAAATTCAAATTGGTTGCACTTTCCTCCATATGCTAAAGCACACCTGCTAATAAGCAGACTGAGGTGTAAATAAGGAAAATAAATGCTATCCACAAAGCCAGTGGCAACACCAGCCTATGCAAAGAGAGCACCCGAAAACAGAATATAGTGAAACGTGTTCCCCCAGAAGTTCGTGGGATCAAAGTTGCTGTTGAGGTAATCTCAGAAAGAAAGGCTAGCTATGGTTTTTGTAGAGAACATGACTAGAGACGACTAACCAGGAGGTCAAAGAAGAAGAGTTCGTCACAAACTTTGACATCATTTTGTGAGGTGTCAAGAGGGGTCTAGATCCAGGAAGTACAGATCTTACTAACTGACTTAATATGAGGCTATCCAATGATGCTCAGAACAGGATCATTTTGCGTCTATCCCAGGATAATTTCTTTCATGTTAAATAAAAAAGCCTCATCCATACATTTCCATAGATTTCATTACACAGAGAGCTCAGTTACTCTGCTTCCTTCTCTTTGTATTCCTCTTATCATTGTCAGTAAGTCTCTATTACTGGTCTTTTGACAAATGCTACCTCCCTTTGACTAACAAGTCCACTTGTTTGTCCACTCCCTCAATTTAGGGAGAATTACCTCCATTAAAGGCTTTATTGGTTCAATATGAGTTTCTTCCCCCCTCCCCCACAAACTTTTTTTAACATACTGCATGGCTCACCCTTGAAAACACGCAAAATGAAACAAATCAGACACAAACGGCCATATACTGTAGGATTCTAGCATATGCAATGCACAGAATAAACAACAAATCTAGGTAGAGGGAAAGAAGCCCTGGTGTGTAGTGGTTAAGTGTACAGCTGCTAACCCAAAGGCTGGCAGTTTGAATCCGTGCAGTGGTTTTGTGGGAAAAAGAACCTGGCGGTCTGTTTTGGTAAAGATCCCAGCCATACGGGGTCCTATGGGGTTGCTATGAATTGAAAACGACGTCGGGGCATCCAGCTCCAAGAATAACAACAACATAAAGACAGGAAATAGGTGAGCGGTTGCCTGAGACTGGAGTGGGAAGAGGTAGGGAGAGGAGAGTTGGGGTGATGAAAATAACCTTGGATTAGTGGTGATGGTTGCACAGTCTGTTGGAGATACTAAAAACTACTGTGCTGTGTATTTTAAAATGGTGATATCTCAATACACATGAATTACCTCAATAAAGACTTGTTTTTCCTTAGGATCCTCAGTGTGAGTTTTCAGTGTGCTGTTATTGAAAACACATTCTAGAAAATCTCATACATCTATCTGTACCACCATCGGAGATCTCAAGGCTTGGGTACAGCCTGACTTCAAAAGATCAATTTAATGCTTTATAAACACAATTTCCACAAAAGAGGGCAAGATGTCCCAACATGTGCCAAGTGGGATAATCCATGGAAACTGAATTTGTGGAGTTAAAATTCCGTGTCCCTACTGTCTGAGTCCCAGGTGTTTTACACTTCATGGAAACTTACTCAATTCAGAAAGAACCAGGTTGTTTCATTTTGTTAATAAAACCACTAAAAATACCTTTATTTTCAATATTTGCGTTTCAGATATGGCATTACAACTCATTTTAAAGGTGACTTAATCATGGGGAACATGTTAAAATTGATATGGTGATGATTGTACAATTTTCCTTGATATGATTGAACTACTGAATTGTATGGTATTAAATTAAGTGGAAATAAAACTGTTTAAAAAAAGAAAGAAAAAACAGCATTACATAGTTTGGAATTTTCCAGAAATTTTTGAAAAAAAGTTACTTGAGCAAAAGTGTATCATCTCCTCTGACCTTGTGCATGATAATGTGTCTTTCACCCCGCCAAGGAAAAAAGCCGACCAACAGGCATTAAACACTTAAGAAACAAAGTCCAAAGTAAGAGACCCTGCTATACTGGTAGGAATATAAATAAAACAGATGGGAAAGTTTATCAAAAGCCTTAAAATTATTTTTCAAAAAGTCTTAAAATGTGCATACCTTCCATAGCAATTCTACTTCTAGGAATGCACTGTGAGAAAATGACTGTCTGAAATCCATACATTCTGTAATCAGTGGTAAATATGAATGTTCATTGTAACATTGTTTACAATAGTAACACTGGAATCAAACAAAGTGTCCAACAAAAGGAAATCAGCTACATAAAACAGCTTTGAAAATGAAGATATGGAAACAAAGTATTGATCTTTCAAGACAATTCCTGGGGTGAAAAAAGCTAATAAAAGTGTGACCATTCTCTCCCTGTGTAC